CCCTAATTTATGCTCCTCTTATTCCCCTCCCCTAGAATCGGTTTCCCCCTCCCCGCGCCGGTGCTACGAACCCCCACCCTCCCTCGTTATCTCCTTTTCCAGTTTTCCGACGACATTTCTCAATAAAAAACCCCCATTTGAAAATCCCTTAAAACCACCTCCTCTACACCCAAAAACCACAAACCCCTCCCCCACCATCAAAAATTCTAAATGGTTTTAGGGTGGTGGGAGGAAAGATTTGGGATTTTGGGCAGTGGGGAGGGGTTTCGTTGGTGGTTTTGTGGGGGGATGGGAGGGTGTTTTGGGGAGAAAGAAAAATGGCAAAGTCGGGGGGGTCGAGAAAGCATGGTGGTCCGGTGACTAGGTCAGCAGTTTGGAAGTGTGGTAGAGGTTAGGGTGGGTCGGAGGGTGAAGGGGAGGCTGAGTGGTGGTTATGTGACTTTTGTGATTTATGGGATTTTTTTGGTTTTTGTATTTTATTTTTAAATTTTTTTTGGACCAATTAGGACTTGACACGTCTCAAGTGACCTGATATAATAGGTCATTGACTTTTGTTGATCTATTAATGGAAGAAATTTCGAATTATTCCAGAATAATCTAAATTTGGGATTATTGAAACAAAATATTACGTGAAAGTTAGGATTATTATTTCTAATTTTTCCTTATTATTATTTGAAAATGTTAACTTTTAGGAAAAATACACTTTAATAATCCCAACTATTGTCGATTTACTTACAATAATCCCAACTAAGGTTTTTTTTTTTTTTTTTTTTTTTTTTTTTTTTTTTTTAATAATCCTAACTATGCACTCAGTTTTCCTAGAGTAGACCCAAAAACCGGTTACTTGCTAAAAGGGCAAACTTTTTTTTAAGACCACATGTCAGATCATGATTGGATTAATATAAAAAAAAAAAAAAAAAAGACAAAAAAATAACAAAAACCATCCCAGATTTCCAGCCACTTGGATGTCGGTGCCCTTTCCCCACCACCTGACCTCGCCAGAAAATGGCCGGCCAACCACCCATAACCACCGAAAATAGTTGGGCGTCCTCTGCCACCACTACTAAAATTCGGTTAAATTGCGACCGTTTTTCTACGACTTTCTGAAAATGGTCGCAAAATATGAAATTTGCGACCGTTTTTTATGCGGTCGCAATATTACGACTGCTTTTACAACGGTCGTAAATTTGCGACCGTTTTGCGACCGTTTTTAGCCTTTTAGACGGTCGCTAAGATATTTGAACAATTAAAAATAGTTCTAAATTAAAATAAATCGTTTGCGACTGTCAAAGACGGTCGTAAATGTCATAATCTACGACCGTCAAAGAGATTATCGTAAATTTCACAATCTGCGACCGTCAAAGGCGGTCGTAAATTTCATAATCAGCGACCGTTAAAGAGACGGTCGTAAATTTCATAATCTACGACCGTCAAAGGCGGTCGTAAATGTCATAATTTGCGACCGTCAAAGAGACGGTCGTAAATGTCATAATTTGCGACCATCAAAGACGGTCGCAAAAGGGGTTTTTTATATTACAAAATATACGGTATAAAAGGAGCCAAACCCTAAGAGTTTCTCAGCTCTTAGCCTCCGCCTCTTTCTTTTCTCTCTCCTCCTCTTCTTTTTGCTTTCTCTTTCCTTTCCATGGTTCCATCTCCTTCCTTTCTCCTTCCTCTCCATTTTTGTTCTTCATTTTCACATATCCATTTTTGTACCACAATTTTCGCTCCCCTCCATTTCTGTTCTCTTATTCTGCGGCAGTGTTGGTGGTGTATTGGTTTGATGCTTAGCTTTGTGATGTTAACTAGTTCATGGTTTTTAAGGTCGAATTCGACCATGAAAACTCTAGATCTAGACTTTTCATGATCGAATTTGGCCTTATTAAACCAAATTCGAGGTAAAATTTGAAGTTTGAGGTATGTTTTCGTGTTTTTGGTTTAATTTTGTTTTGTTTTTGGTTGATTTTTGTTTCTTTTTGGGATTGATTTTGTTTGTTTTTTTGTTGATTTTTGGGTTTGATTTTCAATTACATTTTAATTGGATAATTTTGTCGGTTAGTTTTCGTTAATTTTTGGGTTTGATATTCAAAGTGAAATTGTTTGATTTTTGTTTTTTTAATTTGATTTTCGCTAAATTTCGGATTTTCGTGTTATTTTGTTTGATTTTTGGTTTACGGGTGGCTTTTGTGGTGGCTGATTTGGGTTTTCGTGGGAAAGAGGTGTGAATTCGGGGTGGGCTGGAGTTTTCGTGGTGGATGGAGTTGTTTTCAAGGTGATTCGGGGTGGCTGGAGGTGTTTTCGTGGAGGTTAAAGGTGTTGTCGGGGTGGCTGGAGGTGTTTTCGTGGTGGTTGAAGGTGTTTTCGGGGTGGTTGGTAATATTCAGGGTGGGCGGTGGTGGTGGGTAAAGGTGAAAAGGTTTTGCAGTGGCGGTGGGTCGGTGAGTCTTGATACGGGGTAAGGGTAATTTTCTATTTTTTTTTTGTTTTTTTTTCTAATTTTAGCGACGGCTTTAGGCAGTCGCTAAATCCAATTTTTCTACCGTTGACTATACCGGTCGCAATTATATTAATTTGCGACCGTTTTCCAAACGGTGGCAAAAAAATTGGCGGTCGTAATTTTGTTTTTTTGCGACTAAGTTAATAACGACCACCACGTTACGACCGTTGACGGTCACAATTATGTTTAGCGACCGTTTTTGCTATTTTCAACGACCGTCTGAGGCGGTCGCAATTTGGCTGAATTTTAGTAGTGCACCTATACACCCAAAACCACCCACTAGCCCATCACAACCCCAAACTACTGCTGAGCTTGAAGACCTTCACGACGCTTCTTAAGGAAGCTTCTCTTCTGCAACGACCTTCATCGGCGTCAACGGTGACTTTGTATCAATTTTGCCAAACTTTCATTTTAGCATTTGGCGTTAACTACTAAGGATGGCAATATTTAATGGATAACCACGAACCCGATCCACCCGAATTAATTAAATTCTAGCATTTGGCGTTAACTACTAGGGATTACATTTGGTGTTAACTACTAGGAGCAGTTTAGGGGGTGGGGTTGTGAAAGGTGGTTCTTTTCAATGGAGTGGAAGGGAAAAAGGGAGGTTCCTGGCAAGGTGGTGGCTGAATCCGGTTAGGCTAGGGGGATGAGGGTGGCTGGTACGGAGGAGCGGGTTTTTTCTTTAATTTTTTTAGTTTTTTAATTTTTATTTATTTTTAAATTTTTTTAACCACTCACATGATGCCACATGTCAAAGCAACATGTTATATTAGGTTGATGATCAGTTGGGTCTAATCTAGGAAAATTGAGTGCATAGTTAGGATTATTAAAAAATAAACCTTAATTGGAATTATGGTAGATAAATCGGCAATAGTTGGGATTATTAAAGTGTATTTTTCCTAACTTTTATTACCACTTAAAAAACACCACTTTGATTTTATGTTTTATACAACATTTTATTTTATTACACTACCAAAATAAATCTTGCTACCACTTAACATTTTTCGTTAAAGTGTCGTTATTAGCCAACTATTAAATTTTTTAAAAAATTGCGTGTTGAAAAATGTCAATTAAGGTTTTGGTTCATTTGGCCGTTAGAAAACAGTGTTGCTTTGATACATGGGTACTATAGGATTATGTTAGAAATTATTGCATTAGTAGCAGTTAGCATACAAGCAACTCGAGCAAGCAGCAGCTACCTCAAAAGGCTCAGATAAGAGATTAGTTTCTAGAAAGTTTTAGATCTAGCTAGTTTGTTATTATCCCTGCCATGTAGGATTATGACGTGGAAAAAGTTGTTACAAATAACAAACTGATATTTTCTGTTAAGCCTATATTATTCATTCATTTATACAAAAATCAATAAAAGTTTCTCTGAAAGTTCATTTAGATCTAAGTTCATCTTTCGAGCTTGAGCTGATTTAAATGGCTTCTCTGAAATACATCATAATATCAGATCTTGCTAGTAGTTCATGATTTTCCGCAACATTCTTTGTCTGATTTTGCTTCAGATTCTGGTGACGTAAGTTCTACTTCAAATTTTGATCGTTTGTTCAAACATTACTGTCTGTGATTCTGTTGAGAATTCATTCTGTTCTTGAGGTTTTGTTGAGAATTTTGCTGCATTTTTTCGTTCAAATTGTTTATGTTCATCTGATACACCTAGATTTCACAAATTAAACCTAAATTTTTCGTTCAAATTGCTTCTTGATAATTATAGCTGGAAATCAGAACAATGTACATGTTGTTCTTCCTTTGAATCAAAATCCTGCTAGTATATACTACATTCATCCTTCAGATGCTAACTCGATTCAGTTAGTATCCTTCAAGTTTGGTGGTGTTGGTTTCACCAGTTGGAAAAGAGCTATGATATTGACTCTTTCAGCCAAAAACAAAGTAGGATTTGTTACTAGAACTTACATTAAACCTAATGATGTTCGAGGTGTAATGATTTGGTGTGTTCTTGGATTTTGTTTAATTTGGAAGAGAGTATAGCTAGAAGTGTTATGTTCATGAAGTCTTCTAGAGAAATCTGATTAGATCTTGAGGAACATTTTGGATACACTTCTCTTAATCAGATCTATGCACTTGAACAGAAGCTAGCTGAAACTACTCAAGGTTCTCAGAGTGTTTCTGAGTTTTTCAGTGGAATCAAGTCTATTTGGGATGCTATTGATGAGGCTCATCCATTGCCATACTGTACATGCAATAATTGTACATTTAATCTTACCAAGAGAGTTTTTGAGCAACATCAACAGAAAATGGTGATTCAATTTATGATGAAGTTGACTGACCAGTTTGCAACAGTTAGGGGAAATTTGTTGATGATGCAGTCTTTATCTAAGGTGACAGAGGCCTATAGGATGTTTGCTCAGGAGGAAAAACATTAGGAGATCTCAAAATTATCTTCTAAGCATGAATCAATGGCATTTGCTGCTGATAAAATGTTTTACCATGATTCAGGAAGGAATAAGAATTATAGGTCACGAGGTGGTGGTAATTTTCAGAATATAACCAATTTTTAAAGCCACAATGGCTTCTCTGAAATTCATAAGGATCATAGACAAAATTCAGCCTAATTAACTTGGCTACTTACAAGATTAAAAGCATCACCACTTAAATTTTTTCTCAACTACTTCTTCATCCTTTCTCTAAAATTCCTACCATCATCAATACAACGGCGCGCGGTATTTCTCTAAAACTCCTACCATCATCAATACAACGGCGCGCGTTATTAAAATTTACATTGAAATTCCTTCGTATCTCTATGTTTCTCCTCCTCGGCATCAGTTAAAACTAAGGGTGAACGTAGCAGGGTACCCTATAAAAATCTCAAGACTCGGAACCGTTCCTGAACAGGGTACCATGTCTTTCAAAATAAGCACAATATATAGTAACTTGAAAAAAAAATGGATGTTCACAATAAAAGCTTACAACTTTAATACAAATATAACAAACTAACACTAATTGTCCAGTATATTTGATACAAATACTTACATTAATACCATTAATTAAATCTTTATGAGTAAGATGAAAATTAAATATGAGGAGGGAGAGAGGTAGGTGACAGCTGGTGTAGGAAATGAGAAATGATGTATAAGCTTAGGGTCAGGTTTATTTTGAGGCTTACTTAATTATATAATTTTGATATTGGGCTTTTATATTTAGGCTTAAATGATAGGTTCCAATTTCGTATAACCTACAGGGAACCTATACTAACAGGGTACCCTATGGGTTCATGGTCTAAAACTTTATTACCCAGAACCAGAACTTGATTTACAGGTTCCGGTTCTGAAACCTACGGTTCCGAGCATGTTTCGATTCCAGGTCAGGGTACCCTGAATTTTTGCTCACTCCTAGTTAAAATTATATTTTGACATTGACAATAATTAGCACAACAAATCACAATAATCAAAGAGCTTAATAAGAGGGATCTTGCTAACATATTACTTAAAATTATATATTGACATTGACAATAATTGGCACAACAAATCACAATAATCAAAGAGCTTAATGAGAGGGATCTTGCTAACATATTACTTAATAAGAGGGCTCAATAAAACTATATTTTGACATTGATCTTAGATAATTACATAATATAATTTTTTTTTTGTGACATTGACCTTAGATAGTATTAAGTTCGGAATGCATGACAAAATCACTCGTCGATTGGTGTAATTAATGATAATTTTTTTAATATATTCACATTTAGTTATCTTATCTAACGCCCCAAAGACGCTCGTTAGCTTTTGCCTAATAAAATAGGGGGAAAAATCTAGGTTGGAGATTTATTAAATTAAGAGAAATTTGTAAAAAATGACCTTTTAAATTAATGAAAAGTTGTTAAAAAGGACATTTTAAGTTGTACTCCCTCTGTTCCTATTTGATTGTCACTTTTTTCATTTTGGATGCCCCTAGATGTTTGTCACATTTCACATTATTTTCATAATTATTAAAAAACATATAAAGACTTTTATACCCTAAATTTTTGTCCTTATTAAGTCATATTCCTATTTTACCCTAACATTTGCCATAAAATTTTTGTCAACTTTTGGAGTGCTTTCAATTCCTTTAATATTGTTGGGAAGAATGACAATTCCATATATACTGCTACTTTTTTTAAAATATTCCCAAATTATTGTCCATGTCAGCTATTAATGAATTTACTTTTTTTTTTCTATTTTTATAGCGAAACCGCTATTTCATATGACGGTTTAAGTAGGAACACCGCTACATGCCTACATCAATTAGCGGTTTCCACTCATTAGTCACTATCAAAAATCCATCCTCATCTCTCTGTTCTCTCATTCTCAAACTAATCACTTTTTTTTCCATAAAAAAAAGTCCTTAATTCTCCATTGCCCATCATCCATTCTACCTCACTCAAATCATCTCAATCATCTCATCTCTCTACTTCTCTAATTAATTTTTTAAATTTTCAATCTCAAATTTATTTGGTAAGGGGGTTTTTTTATTAAGTTTGGGAATCTAATTTTTTTTGTTTTAATTCAATTGGTCCTGGGTAGTTTCATGGAATTTTCTTGCAATTCTCTTAATCCTATTTTTTTTCATCATTATATACGAAGTCTTGAGATTTTCGTCGTTGCCTTTGCCAACTTCACCACCAGAATCACTGCCTTTGTCATCACATATAGGTACAACAGCCAACAAGGTTCATGAAACTTGTCCTTTTAGTAATTATGTAGTTTAGATCTAACTACTCCGTATTAAATTGTATTAGTTTTCTTCTTTCATATGATTATCTATAGGAAAAATTGGTAAAAATAATGCCAACTTTAATAATCCTAACTTTGAATTATTATTGAATAATCTCAACTTTAGGGGGTATTCGCTTTTATTGGTCTCGAGTGACCGATAACCGATTAAATAGGTTTTTTTATTTATTTTTTAACTTCAATTAACATGTGGAAGCACCTAAATGGTCCAAAAATAAAATTTATAAAATTAAAATTATAAAAAAGGAAAAGTAATAATAAAAAAAGGCACCACCTCCTCTCCTCCCCACCTACAGCAACTCCTCCTTCCTCACCCCCTCCCCTACCTCGACCAGGCCCGAAATTGTCCGAAAATCGCACCTCCTCCCCAACCCACCATGTATCAACCCAATTCCCACCCCCCAGCCACTAAAAATCACCCCTCTTGCCTTTTTCCCCGCCACAAAAACCACCATTGTCCCCATTTTAGGCCCCAAAACTCCTCTTTAGGAGGGTTTCAGGGCTAGAGAAGGGGATGAGATAGGGTTTTGGAGCTAGGGAAGGGGAGATGGTCGAATTTGCGGTGGTGGGTAGGGGTGATTTTGGGGTGGTTGGATGAGTAGACTAGTGGTTTCGAGGGGGTTAGGGGGTGTCGGAGAAGGTGGTCAGGGAAAGTGGGCTGCCGGCAGTAGGGTTAGGGGTTAAGGGGAGCCAGAGAAGGTGGGGATGGGGAAAAGGGGTTGCTCGTTGCTGGCAGTCAGGGGCTGAGTGATGGGATTGTTTTTTTTTTTTTTTTTAATTTCTTTTTATTATTTATTTAATTTTTTGTTGGGCCACTTAAGTAATGACACGTGTCCAACAACTTGTTATACTAGGTTATGTGATCGATTGGGACCAATAAAAGCGATTTTCCCCTTTAGTTAGGATTATTCAATAATATCCAAAGTTGAGATTATTAAAAGGGAATGGATTAAAGTTGAGATTATTTTAATCAATTTTTCCTTATTTATATTATATATATTCCTCATTGTAGTATTTTCCATATAAATGAAACATATGACAATTTCTCTCTATTGTTCTTCCCTTTCTCTCTCTAAATTCATATTACTCTGTTTTTTATCACTATCAAATTAAGATTTGAATTTTTTTTAACGGGGGGTGTATAATTAATTTTACGATGAATTAATACCTGGATTATTGTAGAATTTTTACAGAGATTTTTTTTACATAAAATAGAAACCGCCACTCGAGTTGGCGATTTAATACCAATTAAAAACCGCTAACTCAGGGTTCGTTTGGTGTTGATGTGGTTTTCTGTATTTTGGTTTTTTGTTTTTTAAAACTATATGATATATGTCCTATAATAAATAAAAATCATTTAAACTTTTTAAAATCATGATAATTTTGAAAACTGACAACAAAAAAGTGAAAACACCCTTTTCTTGTTTCATGTTTTTGGTTTTCAAAAAACCCAAAATGATGCTAAACAAGCCCTCAAGTGACAGTTTTGTGTTAAACATTTTTTTTAAAAAAAACGGTTTAATGTGTTAAATGGTGATGTGGACAGTAGATTGGGTAATTGTAAAAATTTAGTTGTATTTATGGAATTAGAAGTAATTTGAGCATTATTAAAGGAAAGCACTTTAAATTTAATGTTTTTTACTCTTGAATTTATCAATTTATCTTTCCCATGTACTTTAATTATTTTTTATATTGGAAATGTCTCTTTCTCATGTACTTTTTTTAGTTTATTAATTGGAAATTTTATTTTCCCAAATACTTTTATTACTTCACATTTTCCACCTTAATTCCTGTGATTTTTTTTCAAAAATGACAAACAAAAGGGGACAGAGGGAGTATTATGTTGTGAGGGGGCACTTAGCTGAGTTTTTGGGGTGGTCAACGGCGGGGCTCCAACGTTGGCTCTCATGTGACTTATTAAAAAAATCCCTTTTCTCCCAAATTTCTCTTCTTTTCGATAGAAAGAGAAAAGGGAAAAATGAAAGGGGTAGTTTGGAAAGGATGGAAATTTGGGAAAAAAAAAGATTTTTTTTTTAAATAAGTAACATGAATCTTACGTGAGTTTCAATGCTATAGCTTCGTCGTTAATCACCCCAAAAACTTAGCCAAGTACCCTCTCAGAACATAATACAACTTCAAAAGTCTTTTATCACAACTTTTCAGTTAAAAGGTCCTTTTAAACAAAGTTGACCACTTAAAAGGTCTTTTTTCACAAATTTCTTTTAAACTAATAAGAGACTGATTAGATAAGCTTATGTAAACTTTATACAAGTATTAATTTGTATAAAATGGTTATTTTTAATCTAAATTAAAATAAGATGAAATAATTCAAAAAACCAAAGTATCACTTAATAGATAAAGTTCACACTACCTTTTGTCAAAAAATAAAAAAATAAAAAATAAAAAAATAAATTCACACTACCTGCATGATCAGGCCAATGAAGCGTCACCGGAAAAGCAGACATCGGTGTAGCAATGGATGCAACGGTTGGAAAATATTCCCGACTTATCAAAAAGGCCGACCTGCAATGTGCCGATCCATCTTTGGCACTGACACTTATACTATATCGATCATAATATAGAGGGTTGACTGCTTGACAACAATTATTAAAGCCATAACATTGTTCCGTGATCATATCTGTTGGTGATGTCGGAATCAATTTTGGACGATCAGTAGCACAAATTGAAGTGCATCCTTCCATTGTCGCTTCACTATAGAATATTGCATATCCATGACACCCAACTGATGCAAAAACATTAGAATCTGCAAATGAAAAACCAGTAGACCTAATGATATCAGGACTGCTCCAATATATCTCAGTACCATTACACGCAGTGACCGATGGTAGCTTAACTATTACTGCTCTGCTTGAATTTCGCACCTCAACAATCTCAAGGTCGAGTTTTTTTAGATACGGTATTGATTGGTTTGAGGAGGATGAATTACAAGAGACGGCATAGTTGGGGTCGGAGAAACAGTGGTTTGGGCCAATACCAAATGGGTATGGGATTTTTATGTTTCCACAGTGGTGTATGCAATCTAGCTCAGATGGTCTACATAAACAAGATGATATGAATGCTAGGATAACAAATAGTGGGTAGGAGTTCAGAGTTTTCATTTTTCTAGTTTGCTGCAAGTCACATTCTAAGGCTTAAGTATTACCATAAATATCTTTTGAGTATCATTAATAAACTGAATAAGATCTAATACGATCACAAAAAAAAAGGTTGGCTTTTACCACCAATCACCTCCAACTAACGGATTCCGTCCATAAATCCGTTAGTAGGCCCTACCTTGCACATGTGTCACCATATTATTGGATAAATTTTTTTTAAAAATAAACAAAAAATATATATAAAAAAAAATCTCCATCCATCAACCGGTGGTTGTTGCCACCGTCAGGACCCCCACCGCTGGACCGGCTATGACCAGCCCTACCACCTAACCGCTACCAGCCCCCAACACCTAACACCTAACCGCTACAACCAGCCCCCAACACCTAACCACTACACAACGACCACCACACCAGATTTGAAACCTCTTTCCACTAATTTTTGACCTCAAATCCCTAGCCACCAAATTCCAACCACCCACAAAGCCCCTCCTAATTCCGACCACTCTTAAAACCCAAGCCACCACAAAATTCCGCACTCCTAAAACCCTAGCCACCACCTAATTCCGACCACCTCCCTAACCCATACACCAAATTCCGGCCCCTCCTTAGCTCCACATGAAATTTCGAACAATAATATGGTGACATGTGTGCAAGGTAGGCCCCACTAACGTATTTATGAACGGAATCCGTTAGTTTGAGGTGATTGGTGGTAAAAGCCAACTTTTATTTATTTATGTGGTGGTAAAATAAATCGTTTTTTATATGGAGGTGGTAAAATCAATTAAGTCGTTTTTTGGAGGTGGTAAAAGTCAAAATATCCTAATAATTTCATTTCCGCAAAAATAAGATAAAGTCAATGGAATTTAAAACTAATATTCTTAAAACCACGCAGTTAAACTTTGAATAATCAACTTCTTTTGAAAAGAACTTTGAATAATCAACTAGTAAGTGCCGTGTTTTATTTCATTTACTTTTCTAATGAATTATTGACTTGATGTGGCTCAGCTTGATAAATTTTTTTTTTTTTTTTTACTGGGACAGCTTGATAATTAATCTTTTTTGTAACAAAGAAATGAACATATTATATTAACGCTAGATGATTAAGAGCATCTAGGAAATCCAAAGTTTGTACCCAAAAGCAAGGTTCATGCATGATGCCAGAGAAAAGAAAATTGGCAATAAAGAACCTTAATAAAGCCGTAAACAAGAAAACAACATAAAGCATAAAAGAAATAAAGTGACTAAAATAAGGAAGGCTACAGAAGAATTATAAAGGGTGGAGCATGAAGATAGCCCAAGAATAGCATCAAAGCAGCGCTAAGTCATAGCCATTGTGCATGGCCATAGCATTGACCAGCTCTTTAGAGTAGAAGTGGTAGACAGTGTCATCTTCGTCATGCTCTTGAAGTCGTCCCGTCTCTGCTAACCCGTGAGCAATTTTGTTGGCCGAGCGTTTAACATGAAGAATAGTAACACTCCAATCTTTAGCCAAAAGCTTAGCCACATCATTGATGATATTTGAGAGGTAGCTTGATATTTAATCTTATATCTAACAAATATAGAAAAATCTAGTCAACTTGCATTGTGTATGGCCGACATGGCGTGACCAAGTCTTTTATTGGGTGCGAACAATAAATACTACGTATTTAAATATAATCTATCTATATTACTCCCTCCATTACATATTATTCGCAACAAATAAATATTTTATGTCTCACAAATAATACCCCTTTATTGCGAGTAATACGTAACGGAGGAAGTATTATTGTTGAGCCCATGAACAACCCACATGTGAGCATTCTCTTGTCCCACACTAAAAACACTAAACACTTATAAAAAGGAGAGTGTAGTGGTAATGAATCCCACATTGAAAGAATTCAAGAGTTACCACCACAATGTAATGCTAAGGGGCCACTCTCCTCATTGTCATATGGTTTTGAGGTGGAACAAACCTCCTTGGTCTTATAAAGTGGTGGACTTGCACTCTCCCATAATGGATGCGGCTCAGACTCGTATTTAACAATTATTAAAACTCATGGCAATACATACCATATCGTCATGTGTCAATGTCAATATATGTTATGCCATGTGTCTCCTTTTCTTAACCAATAAATCTATCTATATTCTTAAAAATCAAAACAACTTTAGTTAGTGCTTTAAGATGAGAGAAAACTTTTAGCTTTTAAGGTTTTAAACTATACAAAACATTTCAACGTGATTCATGTTCTTTTCAATTCCCATTTTTAAATAATCATAACTGTTAATTTAAAAACTATTTTAGTTTTGGTAATACCTCGTAACTAATACTTCGTATGAAACTGATTACTAATATGGCTGGAATACCATAATCACTCATTGTAAGATTTGTAACACAATTACATTATAATTACCCATTTATGATATGAAAAAAATCGACTCAAATATGTAAAGTCCAAAAAATAGATGTCATGGCCGGGTCAATCCAAGAGATTTAAATTTACATCTTACAAAATTTGTATGATCATCCAAATCACTAATTAGAGGCTAATGTGACTCTTCCCAAAATATTTTAATGTATCAAAATTAGTTGCAATGAAATTGAAATGATTGTGATGTTATCTTTAATCTCACATTACATTAGATTACCCGAGACATCACTCAGGCCAACAACTGGTTGCTACTCTAAAAGTGACCTCAAATTATAATTAATTGTAAAATTACTAAAATATATATTTGGACAAATCTATTTGGACATTCGGCAACTGATAAATTTAAGATTTTTTTTTAAACTCATGAATGGAAACGCGTGGTAGTAATTAAACTTTTTTTTTTTTTAATATCTATGGGATAATTTCTAGAGAAAATATACAAGTAATATTTTGTATTGTGGTATACATGATGTATATGTGTGAAAAAGTGGTAAGCAAAGAGGGATGGTATAAAATTTTATTGATCTAACTTATTGGCCAGTTTTGATGCCTTGATGGTCTAAACAATAATTAAAATATTGAGCTAACAACAATCTGTTGACATCATATTCCGTATTAGATATAACATAAATTCTTATATGTGGCTGGACATCATACCGTATGGCCAATTAATGTAGGAATTACTTCGTTAGTGTAATAGGGATTACTTGGTCATTGTTAAAGGGATTACTTCGTCAGTATTATAAGGGTTACTCGATCAGTGTTATAGGAGTTACTCGGTCAGTATTAAAGAGGTTATTTGATTAGTGTTATCAGGGTTACTCTGTTTCTTTTACAAATGGTCACACGGTATGACCAGCTAGCCACACACAAGACTGGCTAACTTGACCAAATAAATATGGTTTCAATTGGTATTATATTGTTCTTATCGTAAATGATAGAGGGTTTGAGATTTAAATCTTGGCAAGAGAGGGTATATGATAGGGTATAAAACTTTATGGGACGAAAGAAGTTCATACTGATTCAACCCAAACCGTGTCTTAGTGACCTTATCATTGGCATTCCAAAAAAGTAAAGAAACACTACATTAAAACACTAAAGACATTGATCGATGGAGCTCTAAGCTCGGATAAGTATCCAAAATGAAAATCCTAAACTCATACCCCTTATTTCTTGTGTTAATAATTATATCATCTAGTTTATGGAGACCATCTGAGCTACGTAAAGATAAAGACGACTGTATACACCGGTGTGGAAATATTGATATACCTTACCCGTTTGGTATTCGCCCTGAGACCGCAAATCACTGTTTTTTAGACCCCAACTATGCAGTCTCCTGTAATTCCTCTTCTTCATCACAACCAAAACCATTTCTACAGAAACTCAACCTCGAGATTCTTGAAGTTTATCATTTTTATTATTATAGGACATCGGGAGTATGGGGTTATTGGGGTATGGTAACTGTAAACATTCCGTCATCAACTACTTGCCCTAGTGATGGCCTTACTGAGAGGAGCCACAACCTTACCAACTCCCCCTTCAGATATTCAGTTTTGGAGAATGTTTTAGTGTCTGTGGGATGCGATGGATACGCTTTATTGTTAAATGAGACTGGTGGAATCATTGCAGGATGCTCCTCTGTTTGTACCCTTAATCCGCCTGCATCAGTTTTAAGAGGAAACAGATGCAATGGCTACCGCTGTTGTCAGGCTAAATTGGCATCTGCATCCATTGATGATGAACCAGAGACAGAGATCAAGGAATACAGTACAAGTGTGAGCACCACCAATGTCTCTGGAAATTGCAGGGCTGCCTTCTTGATTAGCAAGGACTATTTAGAAGCTAATGCACCGTTGTCAACTGGGATAACTGCCGTACTTGTTGCGCTTCAATGGGGATACTTCAATGAATCAAACTTAGGTAAAATTATCTCAATTTTGCTTGTTTAATTTGGTCAATAATCTACCTCATCTGAAATAGAATTTATTTACACCACAAATTTCGTTGGGATTATGCTGATATATTATCTTATTTTGCTTTGAATAGTTTCCTTAATTATAGGATTTGTTGATATATGATTTTATTGTGTTAATCTTAACATATAATCATAGCTTTTTTAATTTGATCAATATAATTAAAAGAAATTCTCAATGATGATCTTGTATTACTGATACACTGACAATGTTGCCCTTTTTATTATTAATGAAAGCTATTACATCCCATCTCGTGATTTAAGTGCATTCACTGGTCTAACTAGGGGTGAGCACGAATTGGATGTCCACTCCGAAATGGAATTCAAATCGAATATCAAATATCTGACATTTTTTTTTTACAAATTAAAGGATACAAACAAATTACATATTAATACTAAAGCAAATAGAATTAACCGCCGCTTCTTCTACAATTAGATGAGCTCTGTGGATGTGCTGACGATCCGCCTTATGAATACTACAAAACCGAAAGCTTGAGCCAAGATGTAAAATCCTCCGATTGAGCCATTTGCAAGAGATATTAACTTGCCCCACCCCACGAAGCAGAGTGACAAGATTATATGAATCAGTAAAAACCGTGGGAGACATAAACCCTGAATTGATCAAAAGCCCATTGAAGCTCATGCATGCACGCCAACGCCTCCGCATGCAAAGTTGAGAAACAAACCCCGAAGTTACTACCTCCACTGATCTGATCATCCAGTGGGTCAGTATTATCCAAGCACCATCCCATACATGCTTGTTGATAATCTTTGAACCAAGAGTCGTGTATTAGAAGAGAAAGTAAAGCATTCCCATGGGAAATCAGACCAAGATGAGCAACGTAAAACCTAGGTGGAGAAGAGGCACTGCCATTTGCCACCTCAGTATTAGGGGTACTAGCTTGGGCATCTGAGTTGAAAAAAATTGAATGATTATCCATGACCTCCGCAAACAGAGAATCAAAAGGCCGAGACGCAGAAGAATCCCTAGATATTCTAGAATTACGACATAACCACAAGCTCCAAAGCGTACCGACAAAGGTACCTAAGCGAGTACTAGAAGGTCCATCCCGACTGATAAAAAGTCGGATATAATCTTCGATCCAATCTGAGAGATAAAGGTCTCCATTAATTTCTGAGCGAATGCCAAGGCATCCACCCCTCCAAACCGATCATGTAGTAAAGCACATTCTGAATAGGTGTTGCAAATCATCTGGTTCCGAACAATATAGGTCACAGAACACGTCTTGAATCAGAACTCCTCTATGATTGAGTTCCACCTTAACCGCAAGAGCACGGTGTAGCAGTTTCCATAAGAACAACTTCCATTTAGGTTGCAGCTGGAGAGACCAAAGAACCTTCTAGAAAGAGTCAGTAGTGGAAAGTGAGGAAGCAGAAGAAAATTGTTGTTGAAGCATAGCATAACCAGTTTTAACTGAGTAATTTCCAAAGGGGGTACCCGCCCAATAACGGAAATAATCCTGAGTCATATAAGGGACCTCCATTTCCAGGGTTGTTGAAGCATCTGCTGGAACTAAACGACAACTTTAGTAGTATCCCACCCCATCGTCTGAGGATTGATGAAAAAACTGATAGTATGAGGAGCTATATTTTGCATAGAAATTCCAGGTTTGAACTCAGGAATGCAACCATTGACCCACTTAACTGACCCAGCTAGAATGGACCGGTCGTTACCAATTTTCCAATTACAACCCTGTTTCAAAATAGTGTCCTCCTTTAGTAACACCCGAAAGCCATAAGAATAATACCGACCAGAATAAAGGGGCCGAGTACTAGGGTTGTTAGAAAGAAAGGTCGTACGGGCACCGAAAAATTTAGAGACTAGCAACTGTGGGTTAGTAAAGAGTTTCCAAATCTGTTTCATTTACAATGCCTTGTTTAAGGATGACAAGCAGCGAATGCCCAAGCCACCCAACCCGCGAGGAAGATGCGCGGTGTCCTTATTAATTTAATGCATACCTTTAGTATCAGATTGCGCCAAGAAGAAGTGCATTAGTAATGAATTTATTTTCCCAGTAACAGAGACCAGCAACTCATAGCAAGCAAGCACATGGGAAGCCATTGCAACAAGGATTGAGTTAATGAAAATTAACTTCTGCGATTGAGAAAATCGGGTTGCATTTAAACAATTAATTCTTCCTATAATTTTGTCTATGATGAATTGGAAGTGGTCTTTATTTTTTCCGATGAAGTCGATTGAAGCCCCGAGGTGATGATTGAACACCTGAACATGCTTCATTTGGAATATTAATTTGAACCTATCCTGAGAAGGCAATCAAACCAATATTCGGCTAAACTAAATCAATGATTTTGATAGGTTCAACGAACCCTTCTCCAAAAATCTTAGTAAACCTTTAAATGATCTGCCGAATATTAGTACAAGAAGCAGTCGTAGGCCGAAAAAAGATGAGAGCATCATCCGCAAAGAATAGATGGGAGATAGTAGCAGGCCTTCTCCTTGATAGCTTAATTCCCTGAAAAGCCTCAAATCCTATCCCAAATGCATCATACGAGAGAAAATATCTATGCAGAACAGGAAAAGATACGGTGAGATAGGATCACCCTGGTAAAGACCACATTATGGCTTAAAGTTATTTGAGGTACGTAGTACCATTAACCAAAGACTTGTAAGTAACCGTGGCTAGGCACTGTTGGATCATCTATAACCAATGAGCCGGAAACCCGTAGGATTTTAAGACCTGCAAAAGAAAACTCCAATGAATTCTGTCAAGCTTTGGTCATATCAATTTTGATCTAAGAAAGCCAGTTAGTGGCTCTTTTTGAGCCACTTATTTTCTCCATCAATTTATGGCTTACCAAAATATTATTTGTCATCACACGGCCTTGAACAAAGGCATACTGAGTATCTGAGATGAGAAGAAGGAGATACTGGCGTAATCTGGCCACCAAGCATTTTGAATCACATTTATACAATGTATTGCAAAGGCTTATCGGTCGTAAATGGCCCATCTCTGTTGGGGTACCAATCTTAGGAATCATAACAAGGAGGGACTGAATCCACTCCTTCAAGAGATACCCCATTTGAAAGAAACTTTGAATGCCTAAAACGACCGAATCTCCCACAACATCCCAATGAGACTTGAAAAATTCAATAGTAATTCCATCTAGACCTGGGGACTTACAATTCCCTACAGAAAACATGGAAATACGAATTTCAGCTGCCGAGAAGGGACGATCCAAATTAGCTAGTTGGGAGGTATTGTAACGAGGAAGATCTGGCTCCCGCAGGTCTGTGTCAATTTCCGGATCATAATGAGGCATGTAATCAGATTTAAAGGTTTTCTTGAGAGATTACAAAATCACACGTTGTACTTCCGTCTTCCCACGTTGGAGAACTCCAAGATCATCAAGTAAAGAACTAATCTCATTTTTCTTCTGTCGACCCTTGACCTTAGAGAACAAAGTTTAGATGGGCAATCGCCTTTTAGAATCCAGTTTTTCTTACAAAGCTGCCTCTAGAATTGAAGCTGCAATAAGATATTGTCCTTTGAAGTAATAATATTTTTCATGTAGAGAAAGGCATTAGTAATGGACTGGACTAACTCTCCCTCATTAGAAAGATCCTTCGAAAAAATTTCCAATAAACTCCCCAAAATTTCTTATTGTTGAGACACCAATTCCGAACTAGTGTCTTTACATGTTTAAGATTTTTTGAGAGAATGAACATTGGTGAGTCAGAGACGTTCCTTTTCCAAGTAGAAAAGAAAAGGTCATGTATCTCCTGAAAGTTCAGACACTAATTGTCCAATTGATGAGGACGATTTGAATGTCTTTGCAACGGGGAGTCATCAAAGAAAATTGGAGCATGATCAGAGATGAGAATCGGTTGATTGAGTAAACGACTATCAGGATGGTTATGAAACCAATCAGAGGTCATATAAGCCCGATCTAAACGCTGTAAAATAAGGTGATCTACATCCCTATTATTTGTCCAAGTATAGGGGGGCCCCTTGAAAGTAGTTGCAAGTAAACTAGACTTAATTCTAAAATCAATACAGGAATCCCAACCTTAAATGTCATTTGACCCCCCAACCTAACGTAATGGTGCTTAATTTCATTAATATCACCAATAATAAAGCAATTAGGAACAATAGCAAGTAAATCTAAAATCAAACCCCAAACTTGAGGTCTATCTTCAAGAACAGGAACACCATTAACAAACGTCACACATTCACTATTTCCATTAGTAAGCTTTATATTAAAAAGTACCACATTTGTACAACAAAAACACAAAAGACTTCATCCGAACCATAACCAAAAACCACTAAACCGGCGCTAGTTCCTACCGATCAACCCCAATAACCAAAGTTGGACTAGTAAAATGACAGAGTAAAGTCGTATCCCCTAATAAAAAGTAATTCCTAAATCCTCTAACTAATATAGATAGGGAAGTAGAGTCGAACTCCACAGGGAAACAAGTCTTTCTACTCCTAATTAATTATTATAATCTAAATTATCTAAGTAACCAATATTTATAATTGAATAATAAACTAAACTAAGGAGATCAAGAATAAGGGGAAAATAATTTATAAAAGGATCTAGGGAATAGGTTCACCAATAAATAATACTCCGGGGTAAAACATAATAATCAATCATTGACATTGCATAAATAACATGATTAACAGGCTCTCGCAATTTATTAATCAACATAGATCTAATAGGCTCTCGTAATTTACTAGATCTAAGTTCCTATTGAAAATAGCCTTTAATATGAAATTAACACCTGCTCGATTCATCAATTCAATATTGTTATACTTTTACAAGCCATAATTGTAAAGCGTTAAAACAATTCAATAAGAAATTATTATGCAATATCAAAAATCAATAATAGTCAATCATCAATGCAACAATTAACTAGATCGTAAAGGGCTTTCGCAGCGTATTAAAATCACAGAATTAATCTGCCAGTATTAAATCTCATCTCTCGAATCTCG